CTCTTGGTCCCGTGCCCGCATACACACACACACACACACACACACACACACACCGCCAACTTCCTTAGATACATCTTTACCCCAAATCCTCCCCTCCCAGTGTCATTCTCTCCTACCTGCAATACACTGTCGTCCACGTCTTAGCTTCCCCTACCCCCACACGTAGCTCTTATCCCCCCCATCTCAACATCTCTCTCAGTCTCACCGAGATAGAATTTTCTGTGCGTGTGTCCGAGAGACAGAGCGCGTGAGAGTCTCTCTCCTCTCCGACCCTGTCTCAGAGAGAGAGAACGAGTCTAAGACAGAGAGTCCGAGCGTGAGTGCGAGAGGGAGTAAGAGAGTGTCAGAGAGAGAGAGAGAGAGAGAGAGAGAGTGAGAGAGAGAGAGAGTAAGAGAGTGTCAGAGAGAGAGAGAACGAGAGAGAGAGAGAGAGAGAGAGAGAGTGTGAGTGAGTGAGAGAGAGAGAGAGAGAGTGAGAGAGAGAGAGTGAGAGAGAGAGCGAGAGTGTGACAGAGAGAGAGAGAGAGAAAGAGAGAGAGTGTGTGTGTGTGTGTGAGTGAGTGAGAAAGAGTGATATAATAATAATAATAATAATTAATAAATTTAATAATAATAATTAGCCTTTAAGCTACACATTTCCATTTTTTCTTAATTGCTCAAAGCGCAGGGATACATCACATCTTACAATTCCTTGACAGCTGTATATATACAGAACACAATGCATGTGTTGTGTCCTTGGGAAATACACTTTACACAAATTTTCCTCATTTCATCCAGGGGTGAATGGGAGCCCAACCATAGACAGCGAAAGATCTTGTCTGTTTGTTAGTGTTTTAGTGCTTATAAAAAAAAAGACAGCTTGCACTGTATGCTTCCCAGGAAGTTGAGGTTCTTTCAGAGTGCTATCAGGCCTGCTGGTGTAATAATATAGATTATGAAGCGCATAGAGCTTGCTGTTAAGCGGGACTTAGGGCTATACAAATGCTATCTATTAATTATTTTTATGTGCATGTGTGTGCATACCTCAAAGCTGATGTAGTACTCTGTATGTGTGCATGTATGTATGTGTGAGTGTGTGCATGTGCATACCTCAAAGCTGATGTAGTACTCTGTAAGTGTGCATGTATGCAAGCGTGTGTGTGTGCAAGCGTGTGTGTGAGCATGTATATGCATACCTCAAAGCTGATGTAGTACTCTGTATGTGTGCATGTATGCGTGTGTGTGTGTGCAAGCGTGTGTGTGTGCGTGCATGTGCATACCTCAAAGTTGATGTAGTACTCTGTATGTGTGCATGTATGTGTGTGTGTGTGTGTGCAAGCGTGTGTGTGTGCGTGCATGTGCATACCTCAAAGTTGATGTAGTACTCTGTATGTGTGCATGTATGTGTGTGTGTGTGTGTGCAAGCGTGTGTGTGTGCATGTATGTGTGTGTGTGTGAGTGCATGTGCATACCTCAAAGTTGATGTAGTACTCTGTATGTGTGCATGTATGTGTGTGTGTGTGTGTGCAAGCGTGTGTGTGTGCATGTATGTGTGTGTGTGTGAGTGCATGTGCATACCTCAAAGTTGATGTAGTACTCTGTATGTGTGCATGTATGTGTGTGTGTGTGTGTGTGTGCAAGCGTGTGTGTGTGCATGTATGTGTGTGTGTGTGCGTGCAAGCATGTGTGTGTGCGTGCATGTGCATACCAAAAAGCTGATGTAGTACTCTGCTTGCGAGCATGCATGTGTACATGCACATGTACGTAGGTGTGCACATGCATGTGTGTGTGTGTACGTGCAGGTGTATGTGTGTGTACATGCGTGTGTGGGTACGTGTATATGTCGTGCCTACCTCAAAACTGATGTAGAACTCTGTATGCAAGCAAGCGTGTGTATATGTGTGTATATGCATTTGTGAGTGTGTACGTGCATATGTGAATGTGTACGTGCATGTGTGAGTGTGTACGTGCATATGTGAGTGTGTACGTGCATATGTGAATGTGTACGTGCATGTGTGAGTGTGTACGTGCATATGTGAGTGTGTACGTGCATATGTGAGTGTGTGTATGTGCATATGTACGTACCTCAAAGTTGATGTAGTACTGGACTTGCTTGATGAAGTGCACCATGCTGGAGGTGATCATGTGACACTGGTGCAGCACGGGCCACAGCTCCGGCACCGACTGGAGCTCCCGCCGGCTGCCCGCCTGGCCCTTCCAGATCTGGGCCAGGACGTACTCCATGCGCTTGGCGCGCCACATGAAGTTGAACACCCGCAGGTACATGATCTTACACTCTGGGGTGAATACCTGAGGGGGAGAGAGGGGGGAGGGGAGAGGGAGTGGGAAGGGGAGAGAGGGGGGGAGGGGGAGAGGGAGGGGCTGAGGGAGGGGGGGAGGGGGAGAGAGGGGGGAGGGGAGAGAGGGGGGAGGGGGGAGGGGGAGAGAGGGGGGGAGGGGGAGAGAGGGGGAGAGGGAGGGGAGAAGGTCATATAGGTGCGGTGGGACACATTAAAACATTTCCGGTCTGTAGGAAAATTTGATTTTTGCTCGGGGGGGGGGCTGAAGCCTACTCTTATCGACATGAGGGGGGGTGACAGCTACCTATGGCCTCACATTATAAAAAAATTTAATACATGAGGAGAGACAACAACACAACTGCTCTCCTTGCCCGGCCTGCCGGGTACCTGACCTTTTATTTTAC